GGGGAAGAGTTTAGATCCTAGGAAGAATAGGAAGTCATTAAAAAATTTTTAATTAAACTGTTTTCTCTCTGAAAACAGAATCATTTCTTACATCTGTGAATCAATGGCTACTTCTCATTTTAAATTCCCTACTCAATGATCATCTCATCTCTTTATATAAAGAAACCATTACATTCAAAATGCATAGCCAGTGTGTGTGCATACATAATTTATCATCAAATTATGGGCCAAAAATATAGAAGAAAACTTTTCAGTTCAGACAAATAACATGAACAACTTGAATGAGGAGGGCAAATAAAACAGGTGAGGATAACCAGTAGTTTCTGTGTAGCCCTGATTAAAATGGAAAAGAATACTACAGTATTTTTTCATAGATTCAACTTAAAAATCAACTTTATTGAAGTATAACTTACATAAATTAAGACAGTTTAATATACAGATTAATAACTTTTGACAAATGTATATACCAATATAACTACCACTCCAACCACAATATACAATGATTCCATCATTCCCAGAAAGCAGCTCTTATTCCTTTATTTTCAGTTTCCTCTAATAATCTATTATAGACAAGTGTTTCATAGAATATTAAGAAATATCAATGACATCATAGGACCCAGTCCTTTCCAGAAGACGAATGCTTTCCTAAAATGTGTATACAAGGTAAGTGTTGAACTGTTAACTTCAAGGTTGGGGATTTAAATCCACTAGCTACTCTGAGGGAGATGAAGCTGTCTGCTCCTGGGAAGATTTATAGTCTAGGAAATCCTATACAGAGTCAGCATGTGTTAGATTTGACTCAAAGGCAGTGATTTTGGGGGGTTAACAATTTGGCAACAGGATTGGAGGGCGGTTCATTAATAACCTGCGGTATGCGAAGGATGGAATTTTAAAGCACGTACTGGTGAAAATCAGAGGCTACAGCCTTCAGTATGGATTACACTTTAAAGAAAACAAAAATCTTCACAACTGGGATAATAAACAACACCATGATAAGTGAAATAAAGATTGAAATTTTTAAGGATTTCATTTTACTTGGATCCACAATCAATACTCTTCAAATGACCTATCACACTGAGAAATTCTGTGACAAAAGACCTCTTTGAAGTGTTGAAGAGCAAAGATGTCACTTTGAGGACTGAAGCATGCCTGACACAAGAAGCCATAGCATTTTCCATGGCCTCCTAGACATGTGAATCCTAGACAACAAAAAAGGAAAACTGAAGAATTGATGTCTCTGAATTATGTTGTTGCAAAGAAGACTGACGTTAGCTTGGATCGCCGAGAGAATAAACAAATCTGTGTTGGAAGAACTACACCCAAAATGCTCCTTAGAAAGAAGGATGGCAAGAGTGCCTCTCATACTTTGGACATGTTATCAAGAGGGATCGGTATCTGGAGAAGGTCATTATATTTGATAAAGAAGAGGGTCAGAGAAAAAGAGGAGGCCCCTGAGTGTGATGAACTGACTTAGTGGCTACAGCAATTGGCTCAAACATAACGATTATGTTTTAACGGGCACAGTGTTTTGTTCTGTTGTACTCAGGGTGTCTATGAGGTAAAACCAACTCAACGGCACCTTAGGACAACAACAATGTGGCCAATTGTCCTGCTTCAAGACTGAGCATGAGGGACATTCTCTACGAAGAGTTCATTTCACACTACGTAGATATTTTACTTTCCAGGCCCATTGGGATGGCAGCCCTGCTTCCCTAGTTCTGAGCAGCTCTATTATCCAAGCCCACTGACATAGCACCCAGGCCTTCTCTCAGCCTATTAGAACAAAGCACCACCCTGCAGGACAGTGACCCTACTCTTTGAAACTAAGAAGTATTCCCACTCTTTGAAATCTAGGGAGTGGTAGCTTCCATGCCACCAAAACACGGTAGCTCTGCCTTCCACGCTCCTTTGGACAGTTCTTATAGGTCTCTGAACTGCTCTCCAGATAGATTCTTCTTCTTCTCTTCTCCTCCTCCTCCTTCTTGACTTCTTCATCTCTGAACTGCTCTCCAGATAGGCTCTCCTCCTCCTCCTCCTCCT